ATGCTGAGTTGCATCCAAAGAACACCATACCTACTGTGAAGCATGGGGGTGGAAACATCATGCTTTGGGGCTGTTTTTCTGCAAAGGGACCAGGACGACTGATCCGTGTAAAGGAAAGAATGAATGGGGCCATGTATCGTGAGATTTTGAGTGAAAACCTCCTTCCATCAGCAAGGGCATTGAAGATGAAACGTGGCTGGGTCTTTCAGCATGACAATGATCCCAAACACACCGCCCGGGCAACGAAGGAGTGGCTTCGTAAGAATCATTTCAAGGTCCTGGAGTGGCCTAGCCAGTCTCCAGATCTCAACCCCATAGAAAATCTTTGGAGGGAGTTGAAAATCCGTGTTGCCCAGCGACAGCCCCAAAACATCACTGCTCTAGAGGAGATCTGCATGGAGGAATGGGCCAAAATACCAGCAACAGTGTGTGAAAACCTTGTGAAGACTTACAGAAAACGTTTGACCTGTGTTATTGCCAACAAAGGGTATATAACAAAGTATTGAGAAACTTTTTTGTTATTGACCAAATACTTATTTTCCACCATAATTTGCAAATAAATTCATTAAAAATCCTACAATGTGATTTTCTGGAATTTCTTTTCTCATTTTGTCTGTCATAGTTGACGTGTACCTATGATGAAAATTACAGGCCTCTCTCATCTTTTTAAGTGGGAGAACTTGCACAATTGGTGGCTGACTAAATACTTTTTTTCCCCACTGTACATCTGTTCTCAGAATGTAAAAAAAAACCGTTCTGTTTTACCGCTCAGGAAACATATGGCTTCGTTCTCGGAACCAATGGGAAACCAAAAACGTAGTTCCCACAACTTCCAGAGAGCCAAATGTGCTAGTTGGGTAAGGTCTCATATACACTACATGGCCAAAAGCATGTGGACACCCCTTCAAATTAATGGATTTGGCTATTTCAGCCACACCCGTTGCTGACAGGTGTATAAAATTGAGCACACAGCCATGCAATCTCCATAGACAAACATTAACAGTAGAATTGCCCGTACTGATGAGCTCAGTGACTTTCAATGTGGCACCGTCATAGGATGACACCTTTCCAACAAGTCAGTTCGTCAAATTTCTGCCCTGCTAGAGCTGCCCCAGTCAACTGTAAGTGCTGTTATTGTGATTTGGAAACGTCTAGGAGCAACAACGGCTCAGCCACAAAGTGGTAGGGCACACAAGCTCACAGAACGGGACCGCTGAAGTGTGTAGCGTGTAGAAATTGTCTGTCCTCGGTTGCAACACTCACTACCGAGTTGCAAACTGCCTCTGGAAGCAATGTCAGCACAATAACTGTTTGTCGGGAGCTTCATGAAATGGGTTTCCATGGCCGAGCAGCCGCACACAAGCCTAAGACCACCATGAGCAATGCCAAGCATCGGCTGGAGTGGTGTAAAGCTTGCCGCCATTGGAGCAGTGGAAACGCGTTCTCTGGAGTGATGAATCACGCTTCACTATCTGGCAGTCCGACGGACGAATCTGGGTTTGGCAGATGCCAGGAGAAGTCTACCTGCCCGAATGCAGTGACAACTGTAAAGTTTGGTGGAGGAGGAATAATGGTCTGGGGCTGTTTTTCATGGTTCGGACTAGGCCCCTTAGTTCCAGGGAAGGGAAATCTTAACTTTACAGCATACAATGACATTCTAGACAATTCTGTGCTTCCAACTTTGTGGCAACAGTTTGGGGAAGGCCCTTTCCTGTTTCAGCATGACAATGCCCCCGTGCAAAAAGCGAGGTCCTTACAGAAATGGTTTGTTGAGACTGGTGTGGAAGAACTTAACTGGCCTGCACAGAGCCCTGACCTCAACCTTGTCGAACACCCTTGGGATGAATTGGAACGCCAACTGCGAGCCAGGCCAAATCGCCCAACATCAGTGCACGACCTCACTAATGCTCGTGGCTGAATGGAAGCAAGTCCCCACAGCAATGTTCCAACATCTAGTGGAAAGCCTTTCCAGATGAGTGGAGGCTGTTATAGCAGCAAAGGGGGGACCAACTCCATATTATTGCCCATTATTTTGGAACGAGATGTTCGACAAGCAGGTGTCCACATACTTTTGGCCATGTAGTGTATTTACCAGTACCAGACACCCTTATGCTTTTCTTCTTATTAATTTTTAGTACCCCTTTTTCTCCCCAATTTCGTGATATCTAATTGGTAGTTACAGTCTTCTCCCATCGCTGCAACTCGGGTACGGACTCGGGAGAGGTGAAGGTCGAGAGTCGTGCGTCCTCCGAAACACAACCCCGCCAAACCGCACTGCTTCTTGACACAATGCACGCTTAACCCGGAAGCCAGCCGCACCAATGTGTCTACCTGGCGACCGTGACTATGCTGCAGCTGCCTGGCTAGCCTGGTTGTCGCTACTAGCTAGCTAGTGTTCAAATGCACGTACTACTTGGAAAGTAAAGCTTACCAACCTCATGCATATAATAATTCACACACACATTTGCTAACTAATGCTTTTAATAAAAAAGTACCCTCTAAAAATATAATAAATTGCCTAAAGTTTCCTTGTCAGTCTGGCCATTACACATTTACCTTTTTCCGGTGTCCCACAGTGTGTCGTCATCACCAAACACCGCACAGTCGCACAATTTATGATGCTCTGCCGCTAGCCAAAGATCTAGGAATAGATAGACTGTATTACACAACCATGCTATGCACATTATTGCGGTAGAAATGAAAGTAAAAGTTATTCAACTTCTAAAACAAGTTGAACTTGTTTCAGTTGCAACGAGAGAGGAGATATTGAACAACATGAACATCTTCACTGCTCTCCTTTGTTTAATTCCATATGCAGGTAATTAGAATATATATTCTGTTATTATTATTATTATTATTTTTATTTTCGGTTGACCCTTTATGCTATCTTTCATCCCTGTTGTCGCGGTTGACAACCTCCCTATTAGTCCTGAGCGATTAGTGTTTTTTTGAGGTCGGTTCGGTTGCTAATTTTTTTAAATCATTAAATGCATTATGAAATATAGCTTTTAATGAAGATTCCAAAAATATTGAACATTCAATTGGCAAACATTGAAAATATTCCATTGTCTCTGATCAGGTCCACATTGGGTAGACATCAATAGCGAAATAGGAAATTACTATGAAATAATACAATATTTCAGTTGTGTATATTATTTAGTTTTTATTTGGTGACTTTATTATTTTTCATTCCTTAAAGTAATCATCTCTGCTCAGGCAGTATCAGTCAGCCAGCCAGGCCATCTAACATTATGTCCTCCCCATACTGTACTGTCTATAGTTATCCTATTTAGCTAGGCTGCCTAAATATGCTGCAGAGCTGTATGAAGAAATCATTTGACTAGTTCGTCAAAGTAAATAAGTCATACTTTCACGAACTGTCTCTGTCCTTCTCATTGTTGTGTTGTGTTGTGTACATTCCTCTCTCAAACGGTGTGTTTGTATCGCTAACCTAACGTAGCTGGTGTAAAAGTGTATCCATCCAAAGATCTTTATATAATGACGAGACGCTCATGTCTCCGCCCTAACAATGGGAGTCGTTGTCCCAAAAGCGGGAAGGCAGTTGACAAGCATAGGTCCAAAATAAGCCCATAGAAACCCATTGGTCTTATTTTGGACAGATTTTGCCGAGAGTGAAACTTCTCGCTTCACCTTTTCCTCTCTGATCCGTCTGATCCGGAAAAAACTGCCGCAATGGATTATAATAATATGCCATTTAGCAGACGCTTTTATCCAAAACGACTTACAGTCATGCGTGCATACATTTTTTTTTGTGTATGGGTGGTCCCGGGGATCGAACCCACTACCCTGGCGTTACAAGCGCCGTGCTCTACCAGCTGAGCTACAGAGGACCACGATTATGGTTTTTGTAGTTAATTACTGCGTTTCTGCACTGAACTAAAAACTAAAAAAACTAAATGGAATTCAAGTAATTGAACCGACGTCGGTCAATTAGGCCTACTTGTTTACTAACCACACAAAAAAACAATTGAAATGTCGTTTAATTGCTCAGCACTATTCTCTATTCTGCCCAGGTGTGCTAGGATTCCTACAGGTGCAAAGGCTGCGCTGTCGACTGACAGATGAGGCTGTATGGACAAATGCTGAGGGACACATTGAAACTAAAAACATCTACAGAGATGCTGTGTTGCAGTTTGACAACTCAGGGAACAGCGCTTTGTTGTCTGACTCAATCACGTTCCTTGTTGCAGGTGAGTCAGATCCGTGTAGTGGAGGGTAAACTCAATAAACTATTTGTATTTTGTCATTGGCTTTACCCACCTATTACTCAGTGTGTTTTGCATTAGGGTTTACCCAGAGCTATTGATACGGTTTATGCACTCTTAGAAAAAAAGGTGCTATCTAGAACCGAAAAGGATTCTTCGGCTTTCCCCATAGGAGAACCCTTTGAAGAACCCCTTTTGGTTCCAGTTTGAACCCTTTCCTCAGAGGGTTCTACATGGAACCCAAAATAGTTGTATCTGGAACCAAAAAGGGTTCTCCTAGTCCTATGGCAGTGTTCACAAACCTTTTCTAAGTCAAGATCACTTTCATAGTCAAAAAGCAAGCTGAGATTACCGCTCTGTAAAAAATTTTTCATGACTTAAAAAATGTAACATTAACTTAAAACAGTTTTGTAGGAATTATGTTTGGGAAGCCTCGAATGATTGTGATACAGCCTGGAATCGAACCAGGGTCTATAGTGACGCCTCTAGTATTGAGATGCGGTGCCTTAGACTGCTGCGTTGCTCGGGAGTGGCTGTCCCCGTCCGACAAATTAATTTGTTCAAAACGGGAACATGTTGCTTACCCGGTGCGCAGGGCTTCTGAATCAATTGCACCTACTGCCAACAGCGAGAAAAAGGAGCGCAAGCCTTCATCGTCGACCTGTTGGCGACCACTGTCCTATGGGGACAGCCAAATAACCTTTTTTTCAATCTGCTACTTGTGGTTGTTGGAATTTTAACCCAGATGTGTCTTCCTCAGCATCTAAGGTGGATATGAGGAAGTTCGTGGAGGGTCCGGTGGATCGACTGCAGTGTGACATCCACAGGTACAGCAAAGGGATGAGCCGTGTGCGCTGGCCAAGCCTGGGAGGAAAGGAGCACGACATCTGGTTCACCTGCACACTGCGGCACACCGCAGGCCTCTTCAACATCACCACCTTCCTCAGAGTCACCCCGGCCACGGCCATGTCGGCCCACCAGCCAGACTTCCTCAGCTGGCTCACCATCGGAGTTAAAGAAAAGATAAGCGCCTCAGGTATGGTACAGACCAATGGATTTATTTTGTATTGTGGGCTTACATACAAATTCGGCATGTACTTTAACATCTACTCTTACACTGTACTCTTGTGTCTATTGTATACATTATTATGGCACAGATTTTTTTCCTGGTCAGGGTATGTGGTCAACTTCTGGCCCTAGACATATTATGTCTGATTTTATACAGGTATGTATGGCAGTGGTCCAACCTAAGATCTGTCTGTGTGCCTCCCCTGTCCTCCGCTGCCCTTACCTTCCCCCTGTCTGTATGTAGCTGTGATGGTGCTTATGACCCGCTCTCCTTCCGTGCGGGTGGGCCTGCAGAAAGAGACGACCCTGCACTGTCAGTTTGCCGTGGACCACAAGGTCCCTCACCTTACAGTCGAGTGGCATCTACAGCAGCACGGATGGCACCGGACCAAGCTGTTCAGCTACTCCAGCAGCACAAGGCAGACAGAGGGCAGCGGGGTGGCAGTGAAGGGCATTGCCGGGGGGGATGCCTCCCTGACTGTGCCCTACACTGAGGTGAGCAGTGAGGGGACATACGTGTGTTCCGTCCGCGTACCACCACTCAACGGGAGTGTGGACATCGCTCTGCACGTCATAGGTGAGACCTCTGGGGGTATGAGGGAGGCAGCTCACTGTGTTGGTATCAAGTTAGTTTTCAATTCAGTCAAATCAGGAAGTGAATTGAAATAATTGAAAATGCCTTAATGACTTGAGGAAGTACAACTTTAAATAATCACACTAGATGCCCGTCTTTTGTGTTTCACTCCTCTCCTCCCTCAGAGCGTCCTCGTGTTTCCTTGACCACAGAGGAGGAGCAGATCCCCAGGGTAGTGTGCAACGCCGAAGTCTTTTACCCCCTGGATGTGGAGATTCACCTTTTCAAGGAGACCAGCAGTGGTCAACTGCCTGAGAAGCTGGAGGACGTCACGCATTGTAGTCACCACAAACACCATGACGGTACCTACTCTGTGACAGCCTCCGTCCGGCTGCGGCCCTCCCCTCAGGACTCGGGGTGCGCAATGTATTCCTGTAGAGTGTCACACGTCTCCCTGCGAGGCCTGTACATCCACAAGAGCATTATCGGCCCAGGTGAGATAAATCAATCAATAAAATGTATAAAACCCTATACATCAGCTCTGGTCACAAAGTGATGCAAAATAACTAAAAGCAAAAAAGAGGCTCAGAAAAACAGCCTAGTAAGAAGACCTAAACACAGCACGGTTTTAGAGGACATTTCTGTTCAAATGTTAAGAGTATATCCTCTGTGTGAATGTAACACTATATTATATTTAACCTGTGATTAATCTTATCAGGCTGTTGGACTTGGATTCATCTGACCTTGCCTGGATTGGTATGCCTGATTGGTGTGATTTTCATGTTCATAGGTGAGCCTTTCCTACTCTGTGGACATAATCATTGAGTCACTGCTAGAATGACTGATAGTTCACTCAAATTATAAAATATAATTTTGGTTTCCTTACCCTGTAAACTTGTTCAATGGATTAGTGTTTATTGATTGTGAGGACAAATCCTTTTCTTTCACAGTACTAACAAGACGGAGTTGTTGTTATGGTAACAAGACAGTAACAAGACGATAAAAGAAAGATGAAATAAGATGAAAAGTCTCCACCTCCTTCTCCTCCTTGACCCCGTTTTGCAGCTCAGTGCTTCATTTGGACATCTGGGTGTGTGAAGTACCTTTATTGTTTCTTTATTTAATGCTTGTATTTAATAATTAATACACTGTTTCTGGATTGTGTGTTTTAACAGTTCTATGGTTGCTTTGATATTTATTATTCATATAATTTGACTTTGAAGAATTATCGATTAATCTCAATACAAAATGTATTTATGTCCTATTTTCCAAATTAATTTATTATGTAGACTGCAGTAAAATTCACTGGTTATATTACCTATGGACGTACTCCTGGCAGGATAGCAGGGAAGCAGGAGGGAGGGACCTTTGGGGAGAAGGGAAAATGACCTCTGTTAGTTTGTCTGGAGGCCCCGTGTAGCTCAGTTGGTAGAGCATGGCGTTTGCAACGCCAGGGTTGTGGGTTCGATTCCCATGGGGGGCCAGTATGAAAAATGTATGCACTCACTAACTGTAAGTTGCTCTGGATAAGAGCATCTGCAAAATGACTAAAATGTAAATGTAATATGTTGCTGGCCAGCTGGGATTAAAGGGTCTCTTCCATATCAATTTGATCCTTCCAAAGTCTGGCCACACCCCTGTATGTGACCTACTGCCAGTCGGGGGTAGCCACTTACCCCCCATTCGTCCCCCAATCTATAGCTTTCATAAACAACTCTTTAAAAAAGTATAAGTGTTTCGATACCCTTTCATGATTTGCCTTGATCATTACAGTGTAGGTCTACTATTGCTGTCTAGAAATAGTAATATACAATGCATTCAAAAAGTATTAATATCCCTTGACTTATTCCACAGTTTGTTGTTAGAGGCTGAATTCAAAATTGATTGAATATTTTTAAAATTCTCACCCATCTACACACAATACCCCATAATGACAAAGTGAAAACATGTTTTTAGACAGTTTTGCAAATGTCTTTAAAATGAAATACAGAAATATCTAATTTACATAAGTATTCACACCCCTGTGTCAATACATGTTAGAATCACCTTTGGCAGCAATTACAGCTGTAAGTCTTTCGGGGTAAATCTAAGAGCTTTGCACACCTGGATTGTACAATATTTGCGCATTATTATTTTTAAAAATGTTCAAGTCTTGCCATACATTTTCAAGCCGATTTAAGTCAAAACTGTAACAAGGCCACTCAGGACCCTTTAATGTTGTATTGGTAAGCAACTCTGCTTAGCTCTATTCCATTTCTTTTTATCCTAAAAAACTCCCTAGTCATTGCTGATGACAAGCATACCCATAACATGATGCAGCCACCACCATGCTTGAAAATATGAAGAGTGGTACTTAGTGATGTGTTGTTGGATTTCCCCCAAACAACGTAATCAGGACATAAAGTTAATTTCTTTGCCACACTTTTTGCAGTTTTACTTTAGTGCCTTATTGCAAATAGGATGCATGTTTTGGAATATTTTTATTTGATTCCTTATTTTCACTCTGTCATTTAGGTTAGTATTGTGGAATAACTACAATGTTATTGATCCATCCTTAGTTTTCTCCTATCACAGCCATTAAACTCTGTAACTGTTTTAAGTCACCATTGGCATCATGGTGAAATCCCTGAACGGTTTCCTTTTTCTCCGGCAACTGAGTTATGAAGGACGTTTGTATCTTTGTAGTGACTGGGTGTATTGATACACCAGCCAAAGTATAATTAATAACTTCACCATGCTCATAAGGATATTTAATGTCTGCTTTATTTTTCATTTTTACCCATCTACCAATAGGTGCCCTTCTTTGCGAGGCATTGAAAAACTGTGGTTGAATCTGTGTTTTAAATTCCCTGCTTGACTGAGGGACCTTTTTTTTTTTTTTTGTTTTTTGTTATATATATATATATATTTTTTTTAAAATCTTTTTTATTTCTTTTTTTCGGGGGGAATGGATCAGCTTAATATTGCAGATAGATTGTATCTTCTATCAATGTAATTGTCTGCATCACTTCCAATCCCCCATGTTTATTTTTTAATATTTTTTATATATATACTCCCCTTTATTACTTTTCAACCCCACCATCCTTCCCTACTTGGAGTAAATTAGTGAACAACAATGCCCAGGCCTCTACTTCTGGTCTATAATTACTATCTACACCTTATGGACAGAGTTAATTTTACAATAATTCTATTATATATATATATATATATATATATATATTTATTTTATTTTTTGCTCCTGAACTTCTTCTACTCTCAACCTCTCCGATCATTTTCATGATGTCCATCCGGTTTGCTTCTATATGCCATATCTTTCTAACTGTGCTCTTTCCCAAAAGCTCCCAACATACAACCTATATACTTATTATGGACACAGTATGCTTACATTATTAGATATCTTTGTTATTATTTGTCGTTATTTGTTATTAGTCCCATCCTTCAACTCTATTCAATACCTCCCATCTATCTCTTTAACACCATCCATATAGGATTTCTATTTGCCATATATATTTCAACCGTACTGTGATGTTTTACAAAAGTTCTGAACCTTTCTATTCTCATTGCTTCTACAGATTGTGAATTAAAAATAAACATTTTTGCTAAAAGTATTATTATATTATTGATTGATTGACTATGACTTTTCAGATCACCCAGTAATGCTATCTGCAAGGTTAGTTCCAGGTAAATATTGCAATCCTTTAGCCATTCCTGGACCTGTGTCCAAAAACAAGCTACAAATGGGCAGAACCAAAACAAATGATCTAATGATTCTGTCTCTTCACAGCAAAATCTGCAGAGCTGGGAAGATTGTATCCCCCATATAAATAACATTCTATTGGTAGCAAGAATTTTATATAATAATTTAAATTGAAAGATTCTAATTTTTGAATCCGGTGTCGTTTTGCGTGTCAGTTCATAAACACTATGCCATGGGATCGGTACGTCAAAGATCTCTTCCCAACTATTTTGCAATCTATATGGGACGGCTGTCAATCCTTTGGTCCTTAAGTGAAACTGATATACTTTTTTATTTATCACAGTTTTCCTTAACCAATTATGTTCTTTAATGCAAGGCCGACAGACAAGTTCCTTACTTTCTCCCCCTTCCACTTTCCTCTTCCACTTTTGCGGTAAGGCTGCAATTATTTGGTTGTAATTTTGGGTAGAGCAGACATTTCCATATGTTTTTGTTAGCTGCATGTGTGACAACTCCACCAGTCCTACCGATGATATAATTTACGAAGATTATACCTTTTTTAAACATTCTGTCAAAAAATAAAGGTTTTTTGTCAATTAGTATATTTGAATTTAACCACAATATTTGTTGCATTATTTGTTCTGTCGTTTCTGGAGGATTAAATTGAAATTGCAACCAACTTTCTATGGCTTGTTTTAGAAATAGTGACATTTGGGAGATTATTTCCTTTTCAAAGAACTGAAAGTGATAGGTTGTAATCTGAATAAAGGGAAAAAGGCCTTTCTTGAACATTGGCATTGACTGAGGGACCTTACATATCGTTGTATGTGTGGGGTACAGAGATGAGGTAGTCATTCGAAAATCATGTTAAACACTATTTATTATTGCACACAGAATGAGTCCACGCAACTTATTATGTGACTTGTTAAGCACATTTTTACTCCTGAACGTATTTAGGCTTGCCATAACAAAGGGGCTGAATACTTATTGACTCAAGACATTTCAGCTTTTCATTTTTAATTAATTTGTAAAAATGTCTAAAAACTCCACTTTGACATTATGGGGTATTGTGTGTAGGCCAGTGACACAACAAAATCTGGAACAAGTCAAGGAGTGTGAATACTTTCTGACGGTACTGTAATAGGCAAGTTTGGCATCACCTGTTTCGTTGATTTTCTATTTCCTGATTGAAAGCTGGAATGTTCCAATTCATCCCCTAATAAACAGTTGCTGTCACAGTTAGATGACAGGCATTCCAGAGTGGCTGGCATACCTTGTTTCTTTATTTTCTTTATAGGGTGTAAACACTGAGTGTACAAAACATTGCTCTTTCCATGACATAGCTTTCACCTGGTCAGTCTATGATCCATTATTGATGTCACCTGTTAAATCCACTTCAATCAGTGTAGATTAAGGGGAGGAGACAGGCTAAAGGATTTTTAAGCCTTGAGACAATTGAGACATGGATTGTGTATGTGTGCCATTGAGGGTGAATGGGCAAGACAAAATATTTAAGTACCTTTGAACAGTGAATGGTAGTCGGTGCCAGGCACACCGGTTTGAGTGTGTCAAGAACTGCAACACTGCTGGGTTTTCACACTCAACAGTTTCCCGTGTGTATCAAGAATGGTCCACCACCCAAAGAACATGTACAGTGAGGGAAAAAAGTATTTGATCCCCTGCTGATTTTGTAAGTTTGCCCACTGACAAAGAAATGATCAGTCTATAATTTTAATGGTATGTTTATTTGAACAGCGAGAGACAGAATAACAACAAAAAAATCCAGAAAAACGCATGTCAAAAATGTTATACATTTATTTGCATTTTAATGAGGGAAATAAGTGTTTGACCCCTCTGCAAACATGACTTAGTACTTGGTGGAAAACCCTTGTTGGCAATCACAGAGGTCAGACGTTTCTTGTAGTTGGCCACCAGGTTAGCCCACATCTCAGGAGGGATTTTGTCCCACTCCTCTTTGCAGATCTTGTCCAAGTCATTAAGGTTTCGAGGCTGACGTTTGGCAACTCGAACCTTCAGCTCCCTCCACATATTTCCTATGGGATTAAGGTCTGGAGACTGGCTAGGCCACTCCAGGACCTTAATGTGCTTCTTTTTGAGCCACTCCTTTGTTGCCTTGGCCGTGTGTTTTGGGTCATTGTCATGCTGGAATACCCATCCACGACCCATTTCAATGCCCTGGCTGAGGGAAGGAGGTTCTCACCCAAGATTTGACAGTACATGACAGTCCATCGTCCCTTTGATGCGGTGAAGATGTCCTGGCCCCTTAGCAGAAAAACACCCCCAAAGCATAATGTTTCCACCTCCATGTTTGACGGTGGGGATGGTGTTCTTGGGGTCATAGGCAGCATTCCTCCTCCTCCAAACACAGCGAGTTGAGTTGATGCCAAAGAGCTCAATTTTGGTCTCATCTGACCACAACACTTTCACCCAGTTCTCCTCTGAATCATTCAGATGTTCATTGGCAAACTTCAGACGGTCATGTATATGTGCTTTCTTGAGCAGGGGGACCTTGCGGGCGCTGCAGGATTTCAGTCCTTCACGGCGTAGTGTGTTACCAATTGTTTTCTTGGTGACTATGGTCCCAGCTGCCTTGAGATCATTGACAAGATCCTCCCGTGTCGTTCTGGGCTGATTCCTCACCGTTCTCATGATCATTGCAACTCCACGAGGTGAGATCTTGCATGGAGCCCCAAGCCGAGGGAGATTGAAAGT